CCTTGAGCAAAAAGAAGCTCAGGGACAGTGGCCAGGCCCTGAAATCAAGCCCCATGACTAGCATAAAGAAAGGAAGAGAGAAAGAGAGAGAGAAAGAGAAAAAGAAAAAGAGAGAAAGAGAGAGAGAGAGAGAGAAGGTGTTACCATACATACCCTAAAGGGTGAATAGTTTTTCCCGGTACAGAACAGCATTTTATGGGAAGACTGATGAATAAATCCGTGTTTCTCCTTTTCTCTGAAAATCCTACTGCTAAAGCCTATTTATACAATGACCATTCTCCCTCACACCTTTCAACTGAGTTTTACACTCAGCACAAGCTGTTTCAAGCCAGATGTGGTGACCCATTCCTGTAATCCTGAAGACAAAACAAGAGGAATGCACATCACATGAGGATAGCCTAGCAACTTCCTGAGACTCTCAAAAACACAACAAACATTATGGTTCAACTATAGTGTATGATACCAAACTTTGGTATGATAGTTGATAATACAGTTGCTATCATACTTCATAAGTATATAGCTTATTATTGGAGACTATGTAAAATAATCAAAGTAGAAAGAACTGTTTTTATGTAAACTAAGTGAAGTATGTGAGTGATCTAACTAAATCCTGTCACTGGAAGAAGCTGCTATTTAACTACGGATGAAATGCATAAAAGACTAAAAAAGATAATAAAAATCTTAATTCATTGTTCAAACTGCTTTAAAAGTAAGTTAAGGCCAATCTTGGTAGTTGGTGCTACAACGCCAGCTACTTGGGAGGTAGAAATGGGGAGAACTGTGGATCAAGGACAGCTAAGACAAAAAAAAAAGTTAGTGGGACCTTCCCCCCAGATACTCAGAAGGTGTAAGTAGAAAGATGGCAGTCTGGGCCAGCCTGTGCTTTCAACACTAGACCCTCACCTAGGAGGGGTTGAGAGGGAGGGAGAGAAAAATCTGTCTAGCAAGCATGAGGCCAAGTTTAATCCTCAGCACTACCGACATGTACACAATAAAATCCACTAACATGGGCATTTTTTGGTGTGAAGGGAGACTTTATTATTTCCCTGATTTAGACAGGTACCCTCCACTCCTAGAACGACATATTGCTATTGCTAAGTCCACTCTTAAGTTCCGAACTTCAGTCTAGTTGGGTAGTCATATGGCTATCCTGAGCCAGTGCTCTGATCAGACACATACTCCATCCTAATTTTAGTGGAACAAGGATCCTCAATAGAACTCTCAAATCAGAAATCTCTCTCTTTTTTTTTTTTTGTCCAGTTCTGGGGCTTGAACTGGGCCTGGCTCTTCAGTTCAAGTCCAGTGCTCTACCACTTGAGCCTGAGCCCCAGTACCACTTCTGGTTTTCTGGTGGTGAATTGGAGATAATTTCCTTAGTAGATGGGATTATAGGTATGAGTCACCACCCCTGGCTTAATGGTGAATCTTTATTTGAAGAATCTTAATTTTTTTCTAACAAAAAGGTGTGTAAATCTGTTTAGGATAGATTGCAATCAAATATTCTTGGAGCTTTTTTTAACATTCAGGATCTTACACAAGTCAAGGTGGTATCTTGCTGTGTAGCTCAGGCTGGCCTAGAACTCATGATCCTACAGCCTTGGCCTCCCTGGGATTACAGTTATACACCCTCCTGCTCAGTGTAGTGACTCATTCTCTCTCTCTCTCTTTTTTTTTTTCTGTCAGTCATAGGGCTTTAACTCTGGGCCTGAGCATTGTCCCTTGAGCTCTTCAGCTCAAGGCTGATCACAACTTCAGCCACAGTGCCACATCTGGTTTTCTGAGTGGTTTATTGGAGATAAGACTCTCCTGGGCTGGGAAGGTGGCTCAGGGGTAGAGTGCTTGCCTTGCATACCTGAGGCCCTGGGTTCGATTCCTCAGCACCACATAAGCAAAAAGAAAAAAAAAAAGCTGGAAGTGGCGTTGTGGCTCAAGTGGTAGAGTGCTAGCCTTGAGCTGAAGAGCTGAGGGACAGCACCCAGGCACAGAGTTCAGGCCCCAGGACTGGACCCCCCCCCCCCGCCCCCCTAAAAAAGAAAAAAAGTTAAAAAAAAAAAAAAAAGGAGATAAGACTCTCCTGGACTTTCTTGCCAGGGCTAGCTTTGAACCTCGTTCCTTAGATCTCAGCCTCCAGAGTAGCTAGGATTACAGGCGTGAGCCACCAGTGCCCAGCTGTGACTCATATTCTTGATTCTGTCACGTGATTGTAATGGATTAAGATATTTTGATAAGGCAGTAAAATTTCAATTTAGAGTAAGTAGAAAAGTGGGTATTTTTGGTTGTGAAAGACCAAAACATTTTTCATCTAAGTGAAAATCCATGTGCTAGAATACAACAGCTGACCTGCGTCTCAATATAAGAAATATGACAATTATACTACGATTTATATTCTAGAAACAATTATGTGATTTTAAAACTGATTTGATTCATAATTCAGGTAACAGTCAAAAGCTCCAAGCTGACAGAAATTAGTGTCTCTCTGATTTAAATGTCTTTTACTTACTGTTCCCTGAGTAATAGAAAGCCCTCTCTATTGGGCAACCTTCAAGTATTGGTGAGATGTTTAACACACATTCAATCTTAATATTAAAAACAAATCTAAGCCAGGCACCAGTGGCTCATGTCTGTAATGCTAGCTACTTTGGAGACTGAGATTCAAAGACAGTGGTTCAAAGCCAGATGGGGAAGCAAAGTCCATAAGACTCTTACCTTCAATTAACCACCAAAATGCTAGAAATGGGGTAGATCATAGGTCCTGAGTGAAAAAACAAAGGACAGCACAAGCCCAGAGTTCAAACCTGAGAATTGGCATGAACAAATAAAATCTAGCTGGGTGCTAGTGTTTTATGCCTATAATCCTAGCTACTTAAGAGACTGAGATCTAAGAACTGAAGTTTGAAGCAAGCCTCAACAGACGAATCAGAATATTATCTCCAACTAACCAGTAGAAAGCCAGAAATGGAGGTATGGCTCAAGTGGTAGATAAGAGTACTAGCCTTGGTGAGGCCAAGGGTAAGGCTCTGAATTCAAACTCCAATAATGGACTCAAAAAGAGATTAAAAAAAAAAAAATCTACATAACGAGCTCTACTGATATATTTTATTCTCATCATTTCATATGAGAGAAAATCTACACTCACGTGGCATTCTCAATACCACATAGCTAATATTTAGAACCAAAATTCAAAATCAGGTTCACCTAGCTCAAAAGTACTTGGGTCTTTCAACTGTATAATTCTCAGGCATCAACTCCTTGGTGATAACTTTATAAATCCGTTTAGCTCTTTAGCACACCTCTAAAAAGGAAATCGTACAATGTTCTGCCGCTCGGTGTGGATACTTGCTATGCAGGCTCCATTGGACAGCTGCAGCCAGTGCCCTCAGCGAAAGACACAGAAAGTTAGCGATATAAACAAAGACAGAGAAATGAAATGCTGACAGTACTGGAGTGCAACTCTCACTTAAAAGGAAAATATTGCAGCCCCGTGACCCAAGCTTGTAATCCTAGCTACTCAGGAGGCAGCGATCTGAGGACTATGATTTGGCACCCGCCAGCACCACCGCCTCCTGGAAAGTGTTTGAGACTCTCATCTCCAGTGCGCACTTACAGAGCCAGAGAGCAGCACCAGCCCTGCGCAAAGCAGCTCAGGGGCAGGCCCCGGGCGAGTTCAAGCCCCAGACTCCCGCGTGTGCGCCACGCACGGAAGAAAAGCATCACCGTTCGGATAGCCTTCCTACGGAACGGATCTCAAGCCCGGAGCGTAGGTTAGGGGTGGAAATAATGTCCTTTATGCGCATTTCCTGTGCATTACACATTCGCTGCCCGGGGCTCAGGACGCGTCGGAACCCGCAGCGGTGCGCTCGCTTACACCGGCGAAGACCCTACTCTCTGGGCGCCTAACGCTCTCTTCTGGGTCAACGACGGCACCTACTTCTGTTTTAAGAGTGAATCCTCGAAGTGGGTTGGACTTTCAGCCTCACTTTACAACCAGCTGCCCACCTCGGTCAGGCAAGCACCGGCCGTGCGGGGCCGCCGCCGCGCTGGGCGGTGCGGCTCCAGGGCGAGCTCCCGCACCCACCGCACGCCCGGTGCTCGGCAGGGGGGCCGGTCCCCGCGGAGGCCGGGTCGTGAGCGCCTCGGCGCCCAAGGGAGCCGAAGCGGCGCGGTCTCAACCTTCCGAGGAGCCCGCGTCCCCCGACGTCCCGGTTACCCACCCACCGCGACTTTAAGGACCGAGCGACTCGGGGGTGACATCACCGGAGCAGCGGCGCGGCCCACCGGAGGACCACGTTCCCCGACGGCGGGTCGCGGTGACCAGCGCCGGCCCGACACCCGGCCCCCGGGCCAACTTTCCCCGCCAGGACCCCAGAACCCCACCCGCCTCTCGCCGGCCTCCCGCGCTGCCCCTTCCCCGCAGCGAACGTGGCCGCTCTCCGGAACTTTCCTCGGGGGAAATCTGACCCGCCGCCGCCACCCAGACGCGGCGGTCCCCGGGGCGCTCGGACCCCGGGGGACCGGAGGAGCCCCGGTCCCCCCCGCACCCGCCCGGCGGGGACACACAAAGGACCCGCAGGGCCCTCCCCGCGCCGCGCCGCCGGGCAGGGTCCCCGGGAGGAGGCCGCCGGCGCCGCGGGGACCCGGGGCTGGGTGCGGTGGGCGCGGCGGGGCGCTGATGCTCCCCGCGGGCCCCAGGCCGCCCCACCCCGCCCTCGCCCCACCCACCGAGGCGGCCTCCGGCGGGGACCCTCCGACCCGGCCGCGCACGTCCCGCCCGACCCCGCCCGAGCGGGGCGCCCTCCAACGGCCTCCGGTGCCCGGCCCGCGCCCGGCCCCGGCCCGCCCCGCTCCCAGCCCTGGCCCCGGCCCCGGGCCGCCCCTCTCTCGGCCCCGGCCCCGGCCCCGGCCCACCCCGTTCCCGGCCCCTGCCCCGGCCTACTCCGCTCCGGGCCCGGTCCTCGGCCGGCGCCCGGCGGAGGCCGCCCCGCCGCCCGCCCCGCACTCACAGGCTGCCCGAGCAGGACGTGCAGACGAAGGAGCCGACCGTCATGTTCACGTAGGTGGGGCCGCGCTGGTCGCAGTCGAAGCACTTGCGGTTGTGCGGGAGCCCCGTCATGTCCCGCAGCATCTTCAGGTGCTTCTCCTCCTGCTTCCGCTTCGCGCTGGCCGCCATGGCCGCGGCGCCGGGGGGCAGAGGCCGGCGGGGCCGGGAGCCGGGGCGGCGCTGCGCCGGGGCCCGCGGTCCCACGGGCCGCCCTGGCCGCGGCCGCCGCCCTCCGTCCGCGCGCGCGCGCGTGCGCGCGGGGCCCGCGCGGGGGGCGGGGGGGGGGGTCCGGCCCTGCCGCGGCGCGGCTCGGCTCGGCCCGGCTCGGCGACCGCGGGGGACGCGACGGGACGCTGCGGAGCGGGTCACACCAACCGACCCGGCGGGACAACCGCCGCGCCGCCGCCGCCGCCTTCCCGACGCCTCCCGATGGTGAGGGGGAGGGGGAGGGAAGAGACGCGGAGGACGCAGACGGCAAGAGGAGGCCCGTCCCGGGCGGCCGGAGGGACCCAGCGGCGACGCGCGCCCTCTGCCGGCCAGGCGGAGTCACTGCGGCCACGCCGGGGCTGAGCTGGAAAAGACAATGAGTGATGAATGGCTTGGTGTGGACGGGCGGCCTGCGGGCGCTCCAACCTGCGCCGGGGGCATCGGGGTTACCCCTTCCCGGCTCGAAGCGCCCCGAGGGCTTCCCATTGCCTTGCAGATGCCGCCCGAGCCCGCGCCGTGCCCTCGGAAGCGCTCGGGATCTGGCCCAGCCTGCCTCGGTCACTTGCCCACGTGGATGGGCTTGCTTGTGTTCCTCAGTCTCAGCCGTCTGCCGGTCCTGCTGTCTCCGGGGCGCATCCAGATCACGGCTTCTCAGCTTCTCCTCCGTTCACACGCTACTCCAGTCAGCACCGTAAGATCCGGGGCAGCCTGCCCGGCCTCCACCCAGGCCTCAACCTCGCCCTGGCCTCGATGGCACCAACCGGTGCCCAGCGTGAGGGCAGGTTGAAGGGCGTGAACCCCACGGGTGTACGGGGAAGGCCGGGCCCCCCACGGCTGGTGATCAACTCTCCGTTCCACGGGCCACCTTTCTGGAAGTTGCTCTCTGCTAAACTGCTGTGTTCTATTTCCTTCATAGTCCAGCTGATGGAAGAAGGGACAGTAAACGTCCCTCCTATTCCCATGGAGAAGCTGGATTCCAACCCAATCCCACTGCAAAAGCTACACCTCTATCAGGGTCGAAAGCAACTATCAGCAGAATGTGAGAAACCACCGCCACCGGCCCCAAGGAGCCCTGGCAGGCCCAGAGCCCTAGAGTTCCAAAATCACTCAGCTCTAAGTAGGAAACTTCCGTAAGAAAATCCTAGATGCCACACCTGCCTGGGCCCTCCTGCAAAATGACTAAATGAGTCAGTCCAGTGAGACCTCACATTCATTTGACACTCTGTAGTAATAGTGCTTTTCGTGCCTGGAAAAGAAGACAGATAGATTGGCCAATGGATTTTTCTTTTCGCTTCTATGGAAAAAAAAAAATCAAACTACTGTGAGCACATGGTTCACCTTCCATGATCAACTCCTGCCTTGTCTCATGACCGATTCCTCTGTCCCACTGGCTATTTTTGAAGCTGGTTGTAGCTATCATATATCCATATGCAAACATTTCAATTTATACCACAAAAAAGAATGTTAGCTCATTTCAAAATTCAGCTGCAATACCATTAGCACACCTAAAAAAGGATTCTTTCCTAAAAATCACATGTCTCACCAATGGATGGAGTCTGCATTTTTATTATCCATTCTCCCTCCCCATAGGCCAATAGTTTTTTGTGGGAAGTCAGCATTTTAAAAGAGCTTTAGAGTTTGAATCCAAGCCTTGCCATCACAAATAAGTAATTCAGTAATGTCTGGTATTAATCCTCTTTCCCTCTTCCTCCCCATCTTCCCTCCCTTCCCCTTCCCCTTTTTCTCTCCTCTTTCCACCTTTCCCCTCTCCTCCTCTCCCACTCTTCCTCCCTTCTTTTCCTTGACTCTCCTCCTCTCCCTCTCTCCCTCCCCTCCTTTCCTCTCCTCTCCCTTTCTCTTCTCTCCCCCACTCTTCTCCTGATCTTTCCTTTCCTGTCTCCCTCCCCTTTTCTCTCCTTTCTCCTCCCCCTCCTTTTTACCTCTCCCCTCCCCTTTCTTCCTCTCTTCTTCCTCTTCTCCCTCCCCCTCCCCCTCTCCTCTGTCTCCTCCCTTCCCCTTCTTTCTTTCACTCCCCGATTCTTCCCTTCTGCTTGCCCTCTCCCTCTCCTTCTTAGTATTCATTCATATTAGAAATCAGGGCCTTTTTTCCTATGAAGTTTCTCTCTGTGTGCCACTAATATATCTCTCTGGCCCTTCTTTTCACAAAATGGTAGGCAAATCTCATTCACTTGTAGCAGATTGATTTGGAGGAGAGGTCTGTTTCAGTGTGCTTTTCTATTGGGGTACATATTGGGAAGATGATATTTTTTATGGTATAGCAGCTATTGATGACTAGATCCATTATTCATTAAGAATGACAAAATAGTGATATTCTAGTTTTGTCATTCCTGCTTCACTCTATAAAGGTAAAGACTACCCTGTCCAGTGGCTCACATATCTGTAATCCTAGTTTCTTGGGGGGCTGTGGTCAAGAGGATTACCACTCAAGACCAGCCTAGGCAAAAAATTTGTGAGACCCCATCTTAACCAGTAAAGAGCTGGGTACGGTGGTATGTATCTACTAGGAAAATTTAAATAGGAAGATCTTTTGGTGCTCACTGCCCAGACAAAAACCAAGTCTTTATAAAAAGTATATGGGGCTGGGAAGGTGGCTCAGTGGTAGCATGCGTACCTTGTATGCATGAGGGCCTGGGTTTGATTCCTTAGCACCACATATGCAGAAAAAGCTGGAATGGCGCTGTGGCTCAAGTGGTAGAGTGCTAGCCTTGAGCTAAGAGCTAAGGGACAGCACCCAGGCCCAGAGTCCAGGCCCCATGACCAACAACAAAAAAAAAGAAATATAAAAAGTATATATAGAGAGAGATAGAGAGAGAGAGAGAGTACAAAAAGAACTGGGGTCATGGTTCAAGCCATAGAACACTTGCCTAGTAAGTTCAGACCTTAGTAATACAGAAGAAGGAGAAAGTAATAGAGAAAGAAAGAAGAGGAAGAAGAAGAAGAAGGAGGAGGAGGAGGAAGAAGAAGAAGAGGAGGAAGAAGAGGAGGAAGAAGAAGGAGGAGGAGGGAAGGAAGAAGAGGAGGAGGAGGAAGGGTAGCAGGGAGAGGGGGAGGAGAAAGAGGAGGCAAAACTTCCCTTCATTTACTGTTTGGTTTGGTTCAGAAGAAGAAGAGGAGAAGGAGGAAGGAGAGGGGAAGGGGAAAAGGAAGAGGAGGAGGCAAAACTTCCCTTCATTTACTGCTAGGATCAATGGTCAGTTCTCTTCCTTCTCAAATATTTGAGGTGATATATTGCCTACGTATCAATTCCAATGGTGGTGGACAATTTTGAACTATTATAAATTCAAGGCTTTAGACATATTTGACACATTTAACACCCATGGTGCTCACATGGTCTCATTGCGGGCCAGCAGGGGACTCTGAGTGTGGCGCTTACATATTTCAACAAGACTCTGACCTAAGATCGCTGGAGTTTCTTCTGGCAGAGCCCTAGGTGATCAAGAAATGAGAACACTGAGATGTCAAATGCTGGAACCACCCAAACAGAAGGCTGCCTTCTCAGCCCCACTGTGGCCAGACAGAAGACACCCTGCAATCTCTTTCTCATTACCGACGTACATGTTCACCCAAGTAAGTGGCTTCTTTCTATTTTTGCACTGCCCATTTTTCCTTTGTTCTTTCGTTCATCTGGTCTGTTGTTTGATCAGTTTCAGCATCCCCAAGGCTTGACAACAGTACCTTCCACAAACAGATGCATGAGTGGTTGTTGCATTGTTGAATTTTTGTTGTTTTAAGGAGGTGGGCAGAGGCCATTCTCAAGCTATAGACCTAGAGGGAATGGATGTCCAGATGACATCCATCTGAAGCCCATCTGACCTGCTGAATATCAAGCCCTTCTGTATCCTGTGCCACTTCAAAGTGGGTTTCTTCCTTTAAAACTCCCGAGGAGAGCTTGGTATGCACCAAACAAAACTTTAGGTGTTTTCATTTCCTTAACCCTCACAACAGTGCATTATCCCTTTGGCATATATGAGGAAACTGCAATGCTGAGAGGCTTGCTTGCCCCCAAGCCAGGCCAGAAGGGAAGCAGGAAGTCAGGATTCAAACTCAGCCCCAGCTACAAACTGTTCTGTTTCCAGTGACTGAATATTGACCCTGTAGTTACTGGATTTACAGATCAGAAACTGCAATGCTGAGAGGCTTGCTTGCCCCCAAGCCAGGCCAGAAGGGAAGCAGGAAGTCAGGATTCAAACTCAGCCCCAGCTACAAACTGTTCTGTTTCCAGTGACTGAATATTGACCCTGTAGTTACTGGATTTACGGATCAGAAATTACCTTAAAAGACACTAGCTCTGTAGAACTAGAGTAACCTTTCCCCAACTCCAAAGTGATTTGGACTTCCCCAGCCACTTCCTTCCACTGAAGCCTTTTGGTCATGTCCCATTGCTGTTAGGATGAAAGGAAACCCCAGAGGCTCAGAGCCCTGGGGCGCCTCCTTCCTGCCCTCCATGACCAAACCCTATGGTGTCCCACATGCTTCAGTGTCCCACCCAAAATCTCAACCATCATGCTTCAGTCATACCTTTTATTTTTGGTCTGTTATGGGGCCTGGGCACTGTCCTGAGCTCTTTTTACTCAAGGCTAGCACTCTACCACTTTGAACCACAGCACCACTTCTGGTTCTTGAGTGGTTAATTGGAGATAACAGTCTCACAGAGACTTTTCTGCCAGACTGGCTTTGAACCCCAATCCTCAGATCTCAGCCTCCTGAGTAGCTAAGATGACAGGTGTGAGTCACTGGTACCCAGCCAGTTTTGCTTTTTTATTATCGTCTTCTCTTGCACTGAGGGGCCTTTGTACATGCTACTTTGGGTTTCTACAAAAGTCCTCTGGCTCTTCCTTCCCTTCTCATACTCTAATCCAGCTCACTGTTTCTCAGAGATCTTTCTCTGACCTATTTAACCAGGATGGACCATGTTGTCTGAAACCTTTCTTTATAGCTGTAGCTATTTATGTTGCTTTGTGATTTTTAGTTGTCTCTTTCTCTTTTTCTTTCTCCCTCTCTCTCTCCCCTTCCCCCCCCCTCTCTCTCTCTCTCACACACACACACACACACCACACACACACTGCAGGCTTTATCAATTCAGGAAGGGACCAGATCTCAGGTCCCAAGTCTGCATTTGCTCCCTGTTACTTCTCCAGCACTGCTGTTGGGCTTGCCTGGTGCCTAGAATGTGGGGTGAGTGAACACATCAATGCAGCAGTGTGTGCCTCCATCTAACCCAGCTGGTTTAGCATTTCTGTTTATTGTTGTCTCTGTTGCTCGCCCTCTTGGGATGGCGCTGGTTCTTTCCGAAGCTACCTTGTTTTTATGAAGGACCTTGCAGATTCTGATATCAGCCCCCCAGTGATAGACTCTGAAACCTCCCTGAATAGAAACTGATGGCTTTAAAAACTCTTGGCTGTCTTATTGCCAGGGGTGAGTCAGGAAAAATGTCCTGAACAAACGCTGGTGTTTAGAGAGGCCTCACGGAGCCAGGGAGCCAGGGGGGCAGCTGCCAACTCACCCAGTCCTGCCCAGCCCTCCCACACACAGGCCAAGCCCAGAGGACACCTTCCCATCTTCTTGGCAGCACAGCTGGGCAGTCAAGGGCAAATCCTATGAGTGACCAGTGGTAGCCTTGTTCCTCCGAGCTTCAGGGTGGTGAGGGAAGGGTGCCCAATCATGGAGGACAGCAATTCAGACTTAATTGTCCTAATCAGTATCTGAGTTTCCCACTGGGTCACAGAGATCCACGGACAAAACAGGAAGATGTTTACACACACACACACACACACACACACACACACACACACACACACACACACACGTCCCCTGAACCACTTGACCACCTACAGTATGCTTAGTGTGTCTTAGACTAAGCTAGTGAGTAGCTTGATTGTCTTGTGTTTGTTTACTTGTGTGTGAAGAGGATTAATTTGTGAAATTTAATTTCTTAGATATATGCCACAGTCTGGGGACCCTGTTTGACATCTTCTCACATTGTAAGGCATTGAGAACCGCAAAGAAAATTGAAGTAGCCTAGAATTCTCTCTTAAGATTGCCTGCCTCCATCCCAGGCTCTCTTTGCCTAGCCCTAGACCTTAGAGCACATAAGCCTGCTAGAAGCCCTCAGATCCTCTTACAGGTGCAGAGTTTCTGTTGGATGAAAAAGAGTGTCAGGGAGCTTAGGGTCTCCATTTCTAGAGTCTTCTGCTTCCGTTTGTGTGGGTCCCTCATAACTGAAGCGGATTCGGAGAGCAGACAGAAGTGAGCTGTCAGCCACTGGAGTTTAAAACATAGGAAAACTGGAGCTGTTGCATTTCCATTTTGACTGAACATTCTCTCTTCCCTATAGTGTGACTTTTTCTGGCTTTTGGCCAAGAAACCAAGGCAAATGCACAAGAAAAGAAATTTCAGCACCACGAACTCCTCCGGGTCCCACTGGGTTTCACAAAGTAAATCGCAAGGCCTCAAGTTCAAAGCAGTGCGGAAAAAACATTCAACTCCATTTTCCTTTTTTCTTTTTTCAATTTTTTTGTCGGTTGTGGGGCCTGAACTCTAGGTTTGGACACTGTCCCTCAGCTCTTTAGCTCAAGGCTCCTGTTCTACCACTTGAGCCACAGCCCCATTTCCGGCTTTTTCTGCTTATATGGTGCTGAGGAATTGAAACCAGGGCCTCATGCATGCAAGCAAGCACTCTACCACTGAGCCACCTTCCCAGCCCTCAACTCCATTTTCTTTACCCTCCTTCTTTTGATAGTGCCTTCCTTCACCTGTAGTTTGATTAATTTTCATATTGCTGTCTGGCTTGCTTCCTAATGTGGGGGAAAAAAGGCAGCAAGATAGAAAAGGAGGAGGGGGGACCTACAAAGAACAAGCAGTGGGCGTGTACTTCCTGGAAATGGTGTGGTTTCTGGGTACACTGCAGATCACGCCCAGAGTGCAGAAACTAGACATGGAAGGCCACAAGTCGCTCTGCACCAGTTCTCAATTGCGGACAGCTGGTCACCTGGCCTCTGTCTCCCTACAGACGCCTGCAGACCGGTCCTCCAGCTGTCTCTGCTTTTTCTGGATTCCTTTGGTGAGCTCTCTCTCTCTGATCAGCTAAATTCTTTGCCCACAGGGAGTAGAGACTGAGTCATAACCTTCTGTGCCCCTGCTTTGCTTGGCTCCATAAATTTGGCCAGTTGGAAGTGGAGCTGTGGCTCAAGTGTTACAGTGCCAGCTTTGAGTGAAATAACCAAGAGACAGCACTCAGGCCTTGAGTTCAAGCCCCAGTGGTGGTATACACAAACACACACAAACTGCTATTTGATTGGTTGACCCAACTTCAGGCCTCTCTAGGAACCCAAAGCAATTGTAACCTGACTCAGTTGATCATTTATGAGAAAGGTGTTTTCTGAATTTCAGAAGGAATATAAAAGTAGCTTTCAACCAACACTCACTCCTCCCTTCTTTCCTTCCTTCCTTCTTTCCTTCCTTCCTTCCTTCCTTCCTTCCTTCCCTCCCTCCCTCTCTCCTTCCTTCTTCCTTTCCTTCCTCCCTCTTTCTCCCTCCCTCCCTCCCACCTACCCTTTTGAGCCTACTCTCCCATGAAGAAAACTGGCAATAAACACATGAATCTAATGGACCAGATGGTTCCAATTGAACGTGGAGCAGGGCGAGGGAAAGCGAAGATACTACTCAATCGGTGGTCAAGCAGGTGCCGAGTAGATAAACATAGAGGAAATTCTCAGATATCACAGGTAAAACCATCTGGCCTGGAAACCTTGCAACCCCTCGGCCTCTCTTCTGTAGTCGATAGATACTAGAATCAGGCATCTGAGCTGGCTGGGCAACTGGGAGAGAACGTGAATCACAATCTTCAGAAGCCAAGAGAGAGAGAAAAGGCCTCTGCTCTGCAGCCAGAAGAGAGTCCAGGCTAAGAAACGCTCCATTCACGTTGTCAATGGGACGTTGTTCTGACTGGTGCTATAGAGAGAAAGGGGATCTTCCCCTCTGGTTCAGGGGAAAGAAAAGAGCCCCTGTGGGGATTGAAGACTGCTCTAGTTATGGGTGAAGATCCCCTCCCCCGGACTTACTGGGCCCACAGAAAAGGAAAATGAACCCTAGCCATGAGCCCTCCAGTGTGAAAAGATACAGATCAAAATATTTAGAAGATGAATGTCTTAAAAATAAATCTCATTCCTTTTGTATTTCTCACCAAATATCAGCAGATCGGTAATGGCTCATTGGGCAAGTTGGGGTGGACTGAAATGATCACAGCTCACCCATGTTGTCTCTGTGCCCCCTCTTGGTCTGCACAAGACTCCTTCCACTCCTGACACCCCAATAACAATAACCATCATGTTTCCTGGTGCTAAGCACCTAAGGAAGCACTTTCTCTAGAGTAACCCCATGTGTAGTCACAGTAGCCTTCACAGTGAACATTAATTAGACCCATTTTACAGATGAATAAAGAGGGAGCTTCTGGGTGGCTGAGCTGGTGGAGAGCCAACATCTGGGAAAGGATAGAGGAGAGGTTTGAAGGCCAGCTGTCCGGCCTCAGAGGTCATCCTAGAACAGCAGCCGTCAGCACGGTGCTATTTAGCCCCTCTTCTTGGGACTCCAGCCTCCCAGGTAAGATCAGGAATAGCCTGGAGATACCTGCTGCTTGCCTGATCTTGGGCTGGACTGTGGCAGTATGAATACCTAAGATAACAGGTGTGAGTGATGGGAGAGGGAGGGGGCTGTCGGGAGGAGAATGAGGGAGGGAGTGGCACTGTTCAAAAAGAAATGTACTCATTTGCCAGGCGCCAGTGGCTCACACCTGTCATCCTAGCTACTCAGCCGAGATCTGAGGATCACGGTACTAAACCAGCCCAGGCAGGAAAGGCTGTGAGATGCTTATCTCCAATGAACCACCAGAAAACCAGAAGTGGTGCTGTGGTTCAAGTGGTAGAGCACTTGGCTTGAGCTGAAGAGCTCAGGGACAGCGTCCAGACGGAGTTCAAGCCCCACAACCGACAAAAAAAGAAAAAGAAAAAGAAACTTACTCATCTAACTTAAGTAACTCTAACCCATATGTATATCACCTTTACAATAAAAATGTAAAAGAATAAATAAAAATAAAATAAGACACAGGTGTACCTGTTTACCTTGAACCTTCTGCTTTAGAAGGCTATAGAGATGAAGTCTATTTCCACATGTTATTCAGCTAGGGAAATTACCTGGAAAGTAACACACCGCCTGCCCCCACAGTTAAAAAAAATGTTCTGAGTATTCATTTGAGTAATTGTGGCTGTGCAGATCGGTCTTTGTTGCAGGTGCATTGATCTCGCCTGGCACGTTAGAGGGGGGTGAGCTTTCACAGTTGGGGAGCCCCCAGGAGCAAGTGTGGGCAGACCACAGACATTTTCCCTGAACCATACCCTCAGCGCCCTGGTAGGACTTACCATGACAGTCCTGTGGCTACCCATGTTTCTGAAGGTTATGGTTAGCATTGAATGGAAAGAAAAGAGACTCAGCTCAGCACCCAACACAGATGTAAGCACTTTTTTTTTACTCTTCCTGTTTAAAAATATACCTGAAAATTCTCTCAGCCCCCACTGTACTTTGGCTGTATGTAATTTCCAGAAGGAGCTGAGAGCCGCCCTTTGACCAGAGCACAGTTGCCCTTGATTGCTGAGTCTTGCCTGTGGTATCATCGGTGAACAACTGTTTGTCAGTCTGTACAAGCTTTTGTTTATTCTTAGTCAATACCCGACGTAGCTCAGTTCAATGGGCTCAGCAGAGAGAAGGCTGCAAACACCTTTGACCACAGACAGAAACGGACATGTTGATGTGTTAGTGTCTTATTAGGAGGGGAGAGTATGGTGACTGTGTGTGGTTAAGAAATAGTATCTATCTCCTGTGTGCACACATGAAACAGTACAGTGGCAAAACCCCCAAGTTCTGAATCAGACAGTGCAGGATCCAATCCTAGCTCTCCCCTGGGAACTGGAGCAAGTAACTTGACTTTTCTGTTCCTCAGTTTCTCACCTAGAAAATGAGGATAATAATGTCACCAGCCTCATCAGGGTGCTATGAGAGGTAGCTAACTTAATCTAACAAAATACTAGCTCTACAAGTTGTAACACTCATTATATATTCCCCTTTCATCTCACTAATCCAGCTAAAGCAAGGAAACAAATACATTACAGATAGATGGATGGATAGATGGATAGATGGATGGATGGATAGATAGACAGACAGACAGACAGACAGATAGATAGATAGATAGACAGACAGACAGACAGACAGACAGACAGACAGACAGACAGACAGACAGATAGATAGATAGATAGATAGATAGATAATGATCTATATATGTGGATATAGATATCCACATATGTATGGGTCATGTGTGTGTGTGTGTGTGTGCATGCTTACTATAACCTTGGTACACTTTGTTTCTTAGTATCCTAATGCATGATTACATTCTTAGAATCCTAATGCATGATTACATTCATGATATAGTAGCTTCCAGTTTGGACACTGGAGGCTCACACCTGTAATCCTAGCTACTCAGGAGGCTGAGATCTGAAGATCACAGTTCAAAGCCAGCCTGAATATGAAAGTCCATGAGATTCTCATCTCCAATGAACTGTCAAAAAATTGGAAAGTCAAGCTGTGGCTCATGTGGTAGAGTGCTAACCTTGAGCAGAAACGTTCAGGAACAGCACTCAGACCCTGAGTTCAAGACCCACCATTGGCACAAAAAAAAAAGCTTCCAGGATGGGTATGTGACTCAAATGCCTCGGCTAGCACGTGGTCTTGAGTTCAACTCCTAATACCACCAAAAAGAATAAAAATAAAAAGTAGCTTCCAACTGCTGCTGAAGTGGGTTGAAATGGCACATTTTAAATGTCACATTTGCCTACAACCTCAGGATGTGACCTTTTTGCTTTCTTTTGAAGTAGGGTCTTTGAAGATGAAATTAGGGGACTCTCAACATGAGATCATCCCGATTTTGAGCAAGACCTCATTTCCAAGAGGATACACACAGACACCGGGAAGGGAAGGCCTCACGACAGCGCAGTTTCTCTGCCAGCAGCTGTGGGGAATGAATGCCTCTGGAACATCTGGAACCCGAAGAGACATGGAAGGATTCTCCCCTTTGAGAGAACATGGAGCTGTCAGTGCCCCAGTGCTGGGCTCCTAACTTCAGAACTACGTGGAGAAATTTCCTGTGGCTTTTCAGTCACTTCATTTGTGATCGTTCATTCCAGCAGACCTAGGAAACAGGCAGCCAGGGAAATGAAAGCTACCATTACACTGCACACCCCCCCTCCCCCCCCGCCCCCACACCTAGCATCCCATCCCCCTCTCAACCCAAGTGTGTCACAGCTTACCTTTCCATCCCTGATTCTGTCTCTTAGATTCATCTCCAGCATGTTCTCTGTCACTGACTGATGGCCGTCAACATCTGATTAGCGACACCACTTCATTCCACCAACCCAACATGGCACAGCCTCCCTCACCACCAAGCAGCCGGGGACCACATGGCCAAACCAAGGCCGGCTTATGACTGCTCTGTCCCTGGGAGACTCAGGGAGTACCCCCGTGGTCTCCTGTGAGCATCGCCTCTGATGTAAAGACACAAAAGAGTCTAGAACAATGTCTCATTTCCCATAAGTCAAAGCTTTTCAAGGTATTTTAACACACCACTTCCCCTTTTGTATGCAGGGTACATCTAGGTTTTACTTTAGCACCTTCTACAAACCTGACTTATCAGAGGCCACACTCTGTAAGGACTGCGATTTGCTGTCAGAAGAGGGCTTTGTTTCCTCGCACAGCTGTGAGCATGATGCCTCCCTACCTGCTCACTATATGAACAAGATTTTAATGTACAAAAGTTTCATATGAAAAGCTTATTTGAAATTACCCAGCCCAATGAGTCTTTCTGGCTTTGGGGTTTTAAGCCATACTAACCTCCCACTACCCTGAATCATGTGTTAAGCATACAAATCATCATCTTAGGCTAGTCCTCAGACCCAGTTTCAAGTCCTCCTCCCTAGATTGTTCATAACTTGTCACCTCCCTGATGATGGCAAGACCACTTGTCTGAGCCTCAAGTCCCTGGTTTGCTTGTGGGAGCCATCAAGGTAGAGAAGAGGGGCTCAAGGAAGGGAACGCTGGGTTGGGAGAGCCAGAGAAAGCAAACAGTCCAATTTTTTTCCTTCTTCCCTTCCTCCCTTCCCCTCCCCTTCTGGTCCCTTCCCCCTGACCCTTCTTTCCCTTTCCTCTCCTCCCTTTCTCCCCCTCCCTCTCTCCTTTCTTCTCCCTTCCCCCTCCCTTCCCTTCTCTCTCTTCCCCTCTCCTCCCTTTCCTTCTCTTCCCTACCACTCCTCCCTTCCCCCCTGCTTCTTCTCTCTTCCCTATCAGTAAGCCAGAAGTGCAGCTGTGGCTCAAGAGGTAGAGTGCTAGCCTTGGGCAAAAAAAGAAAAAGAAAGCAAAAGGTCAGGGACAGCATCCAGGCCCTGAGTTCAAGGGCCAGAACCAGAAAAAAAAAGGAGAGCAGAGTACAATAAGGTGTGGCTTTTTGAATCTTATCACTAAGTATCTAAGAGCTCTCAGGCACCCGTGAGGAACGGGTGTGGAGAATTGCTCAGGCCCTGCCCACTTTCCTCATTCCATTCTTAGGTTGCATCACCAAGCATTCCAGCATTACTTCTGGAACTTTCCAGCCTGGTGATTGCCTCAGTGTCCTCCAGCTCCACGTCTTCGGTGATATAACTAAGCCACTCCCAGAAAGGAACTACCTACCTGGAGATGCGGATACCTGTCCTCCCTCGGTGGAAGATGCTCAGTTTTGGTGGGGGTTTTTTTGGTGGGTGGGAAGCCTGTGAAGTTTCCATGAAGGTCTAAGAGTTACCTTGTTTGCTTTGTTTTCTAGTTCTAAGTGTTTGAAAACAATGTCAGTCAAGAAATGTTGCTAATTTAGTCTTTCATTTTTCACACTGACCCTCTTCTGCTGTCACTTCTCTACCAGTATCAGAAGGGTTCTTTTTTTCTTTTCCTTTGTTTTTGGTTTTTGTTTTTGTTTGGGTCAAGGGCTTGAGTTCATTGCCTGGATGCTGTCTCTGAACTATCCTGCTCAAGGCTAGTGCTTCTACCACTTTGAGCCACAGTTGCACTTCCTGTTTTCTAAGTAGTTAATTGGAGACAAGAGTCTCACAGACTTACCTGCCTGCTCTGGCTTTGAGCCTCCATCCTCAGATCTCAGCCTCCTGAGTAGCTAGGATGACAGGCGTGAGCCACCACTAGGCTAGAGGGGTCCTTATGGATGTCATCTGAGAAGTGACAGGTTCTTAGATGTATCAAGAAGGCCTGCAAGGCCTACACCGCACCACAGAAGCTCCCCTTCTTGCTTTCCCTGTGAAGCTCCTCCTCCTCTCACTTGCCCAGCTACTGTGACCTTCTTACACACACAGGCACTCACCAAGCTCCGGCCTCAGGGCCTTTTCTCCAGCTGTTGCCTCTGCTTTAGCTAGATATTGACCTGGCCAACTCCTTAACTTCTTTTCCTTCCTTCTCTGCCAACATGCATACCAATTGCTTAACCTACACCACTTTTCTTTTTCCAGATCACTTTTCTCGAATAAATTCCAACTACCTTGATATTACTGTCTGATAAATAGTTGAGTACATACATAAAGAATTACTGAAGCCTTTGTTCCGGTTTGGTACAGGTTAGTAGCCAGAACATCATCGCTGAAGGATTTCTCAATAAGGAAATGGGGGGGGAGGAACAAAGTTTAAACAAATAAATAAAGTCTAAGGTAGGTGTCAGTGGCTCACGCCTGTAATCCTAGCTACTCAAGAGGCTAAGATCTGAGGCTCACGGTTCAAAGCCAGCCCAGGCAGGAAGGGCTGTGAGACTCTTATCTCCAATAAACCACTCAGAAAACTGGAATTGAAGCTGTGGTTCAAATGCTTGAGCGCTCACCTTGAGCTGGAGAGCTCAGGGACAGCTCAGGCCCAGAGTTCTTTCTAACCCCATGACCAACAAAAAAAAAAGTCTGAACACAAATGACAGACATTTATTTGCATCTCTACATAATATACACTTATGAATGTTGTTGACCTGTTTTAAAGCGAGCAAAACTGCCAGAACTGAAAGCAGGTCGTTTTTATGGAATTTTTTTTTTAAATAAAAGGAATACACTTTGGGCTGGCTCAGTGGTAGAGTGGTAGAGTACTTGCCTTGCATGCATTAGGACCTGGGTTCGATTCCTCGGCACCACATAAGCAAAAAGAAAAAAGCCAGAAGTGGCACTGTGGCTCAAGTGGTAGAGCGCTAGCCTTGAGCTGAAGAGCTGAGGGACAGCGCCTAGGCCCAGAGTTCAGGCCCCACAACTGGACCTCCCCCCCCCCCCCAAAAAAATACACTTTAATAAAAGGAGATCATACCACTTCTACGGGTATTCATGGCAAATAGAAAACAGTGGCATCAATATTCTCACGGACTGTTACATTTCCTTTCATTGGATGAGAAGTCTAGGAAACAAGTGAATAGACAAGGAACTTAAAAGTTAAAAATATTGTGCCAGAAACAGGCTCTATTGGAGTCTATGACCAGTGGGAATAGAGCGGGCAAATGAAGAGGGTAAATGTGATCAATGAACTTAGTGCACGTGTATGAAGCTAGAACAGCGAAACCTGTTGAAAATGTTTTAGGAGGAAGGAAGGGGAGAGAATTGAGCTCTACCTCAAGCTCAGAAAATATGCATTTTTGTTTTTTGTGCTTTAAAGACCAAAGAGTATTTATTGTTCCCTTAAATGTGCTTTTGCAGGATTGCTTTTCACAATCTCAACACGCACACAATGACATTTTACTGCCTTACTGTACACGCTGGAAAAATATCTAACCTTTCAAAGAATATTATGGAATTGCCAAGACCTGAAGAGAAATAACAACTAAGGAAGGGTTTTCTGGTAAAAATCAAAGATTAGAAGAGGGCATAACTTTAGTTTCTTGGGGGTGAGGGGTGGGAAATAGCCTTCAAGAAAACACACTTTAAAATCTTGCCTGAGTTCACAAAAATCCAGAACCTTCCCGCTAGCCACCTTTAAAATAAAGACGTATTAATTTAACTCAATGATAGGTCACTCTCTGTCATTCTAAGTTTAAACTTCTTTTTTTGTGTGTCGGCTGTGGGGCCTGAACTCTGGGCCTGGGCACTGTCCCTCAGTTCTTTGGCTCAAGGCTAGCACTCTAACACTCTTGAGCCATAGCATCACTTCCAGTTTTCTGGTGGTTAATTGGAGATAAGACTGTGGCCTGGCTTTGAACCAAGATCCTCAGATCTCAGCCTCCTGAGTAGCTAGGATTACAGGCATGAGCCACTGGCACCAGACATGTTCAAACTCTTCTAACTGTGATGCTTCTTCCTCATTACCTCAGTACAGCTTGGGAGAAGATAGTAGGTTGAGAGTAAGAGTTTAAGGTTTTAATTCATCAGCTCTGCCCCTATAATTTTTCTTGTCAGCATTGCTTTTACCCCTGCCAATCACCAGTTGTCTGTTCCATTCTAAATGGTGCTTATGAGTTTAGTGCTTAGGGAGCTGGTGATTTGGATTAGCTTCCTGCTCTGCCCTGAATCACTAATGAGACTTTGGGCTGGTCAGTTCACCTCTTAGTTCTTCATCCTCATTGCCAATACTAACCATGCTTTAATATTAAATGAGATAAAATACATATAAAGTGCTTTGAAAAGAGCATGGAGCTATTGCTACAATCCTCATAGATTCAGAAATCTATTTATAGTTTATAGTTAGGTTCTACATTATCTATGAACCCTTGCCAGATTGTTCCAACCAGATAGGACAGTTCTTGGTTATTAATTTGAACCCTCTTAATACTCAGTTGGCAGTTTTCATATTCCTTGGAAAGTTTTCCTTTACTGAGAAGCCAGATTTGGCAGGTACTGGGCTCAAAGCCTTGATCTGTTACCTCATTCATTCATTTTTTTTTTTTTTTGTCCGTCATGGGGCTTGAACTCTGGGCCTGGGCACTGTCCCTCAGCTCTCCAGCTCAAGGCAACTGCTCTATCACTTGAGCCACAGCGCCACTTCCAACCTCATTCATTCTTGACAAGTAGCAGTTACCACATCTACCTGACAGATGAGGAAACCCAAACTCACAGAGGATAACCCACCTTGCCCAAAGGGTAACCTTGCTTTTCACAAAGCAAATAGAATTAATTTCTGTGTACTCCTTGTCACTTCTACAGCAACTGCTCTTCAACGTCAAGGTCAGCTTCTCATCTGGAGGCTTGCATAAACACTACATAGTGACTTGAAATGGACCTACTGTTTGCATGGCAGTCTGATGATAGGATAAAAGAGAATTGGCATCTATATAGTATTACAGACTTTTCAATGCATTAAAATTTCAAACAAATTCCAGGAGATAAGTGTTACCTTGGGCAGGAAGGTCCTTAAGACTCTTATCTCCAATAAACTATCCAGAAATTCAGAAGAGGCTCCAGTGGTAGAGTGCTACCCTCAAACCAAAGCAGCTCAGGGATGGTGCCAGACCCTGAGTTCAAGCCCCATGACCAGCACATGTGCGTGCACATGCACATACACACACACACACACACACACACACACAGTTCCT